TAGTATCCGACAAACCGACAAAAAATATTTCAATAAATGCACAATTAATTAATTTATTTCCTGGGTATTAGATATGTCGTCAGGTAGTTATATTGGCGATAATATTCGGCACCAAGATATTTATTGAACAAATTTAAAAAATGCAAACAATGATAAACATTAATAATATCACCTGTGATAACACCAATTAAATTGTCAAGCAATTAGTGAGTATGTTTATTTATAAAAATGTTAACACGAAACTCTAATACAGAGTTGCAGAAAATATAGCGTATTTAAATATTTTGCTAATGCAGATGCCGGAAAATATTTAGAACAGAAGTGCTCACTTACATGATTTTCCCGACTTAGATGGGTAATTTAACGTGGGCGCCAATTAGTAAATATTATTTCTCAACTGAGTATTGCCGACGGTAATAGAGATTCCTCAGACGGTCCCTCGCAGTTGCAGATATAGATCGGGAGCGGGTGATAATATTCGCCGCTCTGTTGCAGGCCGGTTGGCCTAAGGCTTCTCCAAGGTAAGTTACAGCAGATGACCCACAGGGCGCAGGGGACGTGTCCGCTGCGATGGTCATTAGCCGGTTGGCTGATGAATCTCCCAAACAAGTGATGAAGATTACGGTGGAAGGGGGACTACCCTTCTTTAACTACTGGCCTAGAGACTCAGAAAGTTTTCAAATGATAAATCTTTAACGACGGTAGTCGGAGTATGATAAATCGAGCAGCAGCTCTTTATTGTATGAATATAAAATCAGAACTGAACTTAAAAGCTAACAAAAGTGAATATCATAGCGGCCACTCCAATGGGCAGTGCTTGCCGGCTATGCATGAGCTTCCGGCCAGACGCTGTGTCAGCAGTTTGGCCGGAGCAAGCTTTCAGGCGGACGGTCATTGCCGTTGCCCGGCTGAGTTAGTTAACTTGTACATACATATGTACTTATAATGCATACACTTGGTTTTGTTATATATTACGACTACTAGATTTTGGGAAATGTATGCAAAACGGGTATTTACTTAATTTGTGTATTTGTTTTACCCTTACAGTTATTGTTGAAGATAATAATTGAACCGAATCAGATTAAATATTACTTCTTCGGAAATGAGTAATTTATATTTAATTGCATCAAGTTTGGTGGGATATAAAGGCCACATTTTCTCTGGTAAGATCTATAACGTTCTGGCTTTTGTTTCTGTCGAAGTCAGCGTCTTCCGATGTGAATTTGTTCATAAAAGCGGTGGTAATTAATTATTATAAGTAAATAATAATTAATAAAATGTTGGAATTGTTGAGGGTGCGCTCAAAACTCTTTAGGTCCTCTAGAGTTTTCATGGCGTCCTGCGGCATAATACATTTTGGCTTATGAGTTTCCCCGCACACCTTTGCCTTAATAGAGGCCACTTCACTTCTCAATGAAGTAACCTCTGTCAAAAGACGCCCCAACAAGTTCATAATTTCTGTAAAAATAAAAAATTGTTCGATTATTACAAACAACTTGCATAATTTCTTACCAGTGTGCTTTTGACCCTCAGCAGGCGGGTGTAGGATCGTAAGTTCCTGACTCTGCTCCTTCTGTTCCTCAGTGTTAAATAAATTTTCGTAGTTCATTTTCTGTTAATTAATGAGGAGAATGTAAATATGTCTAGAGCTATCTAAAAAATGCATAATTTTTTATGCATAATGCATATGCATAATATTATGCATAATTTATTTCCCATTAATAGCAAGTATTTTGAAGATTTTATAGGCGCCACTTGTCTTATCATAATAAAAGCTATTCGCATCTTGTAAATTAAAATTTAAATGATTGAATGAAATTTTTTTTAGGACCACTTTTAATATTTTTTTCCTTGGAAATCACATTTAATTTACTACGCTCACCAAAACGATTGTACACCTGTTCAATGACATAATCAGACTTTTAACCATTTTTTTCAACTGTCCGAGAAAGTTTTCGAAGGGAAATGCACCAATTGTCTGCAAAGGGCCAAATTCTAAGCATTGTTTGCTTTCATGTGTGAGACAGTGGTAGTTAAAAGTTACCGTGGAAACGAATATCGTTCCGGCATTTCTTTACAAAATTATTCAGCAACGCAAAAGCAAGTTCATTTTGATAAATACGTGTTAAGAAGAATTCTTATTACCAAGCTAAACAGTACAAACTGGTTGTATTGAACAGAATTTAAAATGTCTTTTAATACAACAGGTCCAGTATATAAGAGAAATGTTCGAAATTCGGTTGCCTTAAAACGTTCGAGATCATCAAGTGAACGGGGCTTTCTATTAAATTCTAATGGAACAAGAAAGGTAGCTAACTTCGGCACGCCGAAGTTTGTATACCCTTGCAGATTGGTTTCGATGTTTATATTATAGATTTAAATGCTGAAAACACTCACAAAACAGAGTTTCATTACATTTTACCTATACTTATGTTTACACTTTGACAGTTACAGTTTTACATTCCCAGCTTTACATATTTTATACATTTACCGATCGCTTCTATGGCAGCTATATGATATAGTTGTCCGATTTTCATAAAATGTATACCAAAATTCAAGAATAATAAAAAAAGCTTATGTCTCGGAGTAAATAAAAATGCGTTGAAAAGCAACGAAGCTATAATTTTATTTCTATTAATTTCCCGATCGTTCCTATGGCAGCTATATCATTTACCGAAATTTTAAAATAATAATAAAATGGCCACATCTAAAAAATGGTGCAAAAATGTTGAAAAACAGCAAAGTTATAATATTTTTTCTAAAAATATATCGAACATTTGTATGGCAGCTATATGATATAGTCGTCCGACCTCGCCCGTTCCGACATATATAGCACTGAAAGTATATAGAAGACTATATGCAAAGTTTCATTCAGATAGCTTTAAAACTGAGGGACTAGTTTGCGTAGAAACGGACAGACGGACAGACGGACATGGCTAGATCGACTCGGCTGTTGATGCTGATCAAGAATATATATACTTTATAGGGTCAGAAACGTCTCCTTCACTGCGTTGCAAACTTCTGACTGAAATTATAATACCCTGCAAGGGTATAAAAAAGGCTTCAATGCAATTAGTCTTGCATTTAATGTAGCTATTAAGTCTGGACTTAATGAAAATGGATGACCTTTTTCACTTACTAGAGCAACTAGTAGAGAGAGAGTACGTGCATATAATCATTCGGAAATTAAACAACTCTCGCCCTTCTGAAGGCACTGGTTACAGGAATAAAATTATAAAATTATTTATTTCCTGTTATGACCCAACAAGATCAAGGTCAACAAGGCATGTGCCGCCATCGGCTTGGGCCATGCCTCGGCTAGATCTCTCTCAGGCATTGGTTCTTGGCCCGGCCCACTGACACACGTAACAGATAAAATTTATTTTTTTAAACATCCCGCCCTAGACTAAGACGAGACGTTGCACAACACTAACACTTGCACAACTTCGAAACTGGACGAAACATTCATTAACGCCACATTCTTTTTAAACGGTCAGACTCCTTTCAGACTCCTGGATGTTGTGGAGCTCATCTGCCTTGCCCACCCTTGCCTTTGCAGACTGCCAGCAGAAATTCTTCATGCAGCTGCCCCTATTATGATTCACACAATCACCTCACGCCATAGATCCCTTCTTCCATCCCAGAAAAAAAGGACTATTCCATATTCACATTTTAAACCTTACTTTTAATTACAATCATAATTTTTTTTTACAAAAAGTACAATGCAATAGTTTGGTCTCCGTTGAACCGCCTAACTCCCTTTTTCCTGTTTTGTATCTGTTCGCAATAAGAATAGTACGTTACATTTTCCTCGACATCAACAAAATACTTGACCTACCCGTTTGAGCGCTCAGAAGGGGCACGAATTTTCGAGGGGAAGCCGATACACAAACCAAAGAACAAAAAATTATAAATTCACAAGAAAAAATAAGTTGGGGCACAACAAGAAAATTTAACCAATGTAACGCCTGATGCAGAGCCAACCTCAAAGATACTTTCCTGGCGCCATCTAGGGAGTATTAGCGCAGCTCCAATCGTGGCAGAGGGAAAGGTGCAGAGCGGAGCTAACTGGCGAAATCCACCTCTAACGGGGGGTAAATGTCAGCGATCGGCTGCGACCCGAAGGAGGGGGAGAGTAAGTGAGAGGGATCCCGCTGGATTCGAGGCGGAATTCGCTTGCATTTAATTCTTGGCGGCAGAGCGGACTAGATCCATCTCGGGTGAAAATTTAATAAAGCAAATAATCAAGTTTTCGCGAGTGGAACATATTGGTTGTTTTTTGTGCATTGGCGCTGGCCGAGATACAGAATTAAAAGAAGGCAAACGGGTTAATACTCATATTTCAATCAAGCGCTGAGTTCCCCCAGGGTGAGTTTTTCTGTGAAGAAAAAAAAAGTGACTCGTTATTAAAATGTGAAAATTTATATAGGGCCCGGCGCTTTATAAAAAGCGAATTTTCCCTTTGGTTGCGGCGGACACAAATTGGGCAAGAAGAGGAGGAATAGCGGAATTAGCGGACCGCCTAAAACGACGCTACGGCTTACCGCCAAGCGGCCACAGCATTGGCGCGCCGGCGCAAGAGACCCGAAGAGCCCCTAGGACTATTTTCTCCGAGAAACGGGAGGAGGGAGTCCTACCCTTTTCTGTAAAAGTCTAATTCGCTTTAATACATGGGCGGCCGGGGTAATTCGTGTAATTTGATTTTGGAAGAAATTCTTCCTCCCCAAAGAGTATAAAAAATTTGATTTTGGCAGAAATTCTTCCTCCCCAGAGGGTACTAAAATAAATAAAATAAATCATTAAAAAACTTTTTTTCCTAATTATAATTTAATAAGGACGCGTTGTTTTTGATTATAAATAAGGAACTGACTTCATATTAAAACTAAATTAAAGCTTAAAAATAGGAAAAGTAGAAATAAAAATAAAAGTAAAACGGAAACTTATTCTGAGGTCTTCATTTTTTTGGCCTTCGAAGTGGCCTTATAAACGCGTTGTTTAGCCTTGGAGAATGCCTCGCGTACAGTCTTGATATAATCGCCAAAACTGCGGCCCTCCGAACGAGAAGATTCTAAAAATTACAAAAAAAAACATTTATAAACAAATATAATTAATAAATTCATATTAAGACGTACCAAACAAAGCGTCGTTTAAATGTGGATATGCTGACAAGTCAACTTTGTCAGGACCTCCTGAGTAATTCATTTGCATTATTAGCTCCTTGGCAAAAAAAACGCTCTATATTTTTCTCCAATCCTTCGGGTCCCACCATTTTCTTAAAAGCCTCGATCTAAAAGTAAATATTTTTAAAAAATTTGAAACAGACTAATTATATTATTATACTTACGTAGTTCGATGGAGTCTCCCTGATTTTGTTGTTGATATGGCCCATTTCCTCCTCGGTCTTGAGGGGGAACTCCAGTCCACCAGGTGGCTTCGGATACCCTCTAAATGCGAAAGCATTCTAACACTCACAGCCGTCGAGGTTCTCTCCATTACTTCGATTGTTTCTAAAAAAAAGAGGATATATATATTAAAAATGTTGTTCTTAAATATATATGTTTTTAAAAGTTAACTCACCCTTTAATTCCGCCATTTCCTCTAGAAAAAAAGTGTTTAAAAATAGAAATAAAACAAATTATTAGTCCAAAGGTACATATATTTGTTTTTTAAGATTTACTCACTTTTCATTTCCTGAAGTTCCGCTAAAAATAGACCTTTTGAAAGTGCATGCTTCTCGCAACCAGGGCATGCCTCATGAGCCTCCAAAGAAAATGAGCGGTCCATATCTTATATATATATAAATGAATATAAATATTAAATAGGTAATCAGGTAGGTTCATTAAAATCTAAGGTATACGCAAGGTGTACATGATATCATTAACAGGTTAGTTTGAAGGATAGGTAAAAAACGCAAAGCAGCGGATATATGTAAATGTACACGTCAAACCCAGAAAGGTAGAAGGATATACAGGTAGTTTCGGCTATACGGGTAGTTTCGGATATAGAGTAAAATCCTATAAAACTCGAAGCTTGCATGCAAATGCATTCAGTTGTGATAAATTACGTGTTGTGTGCGGACGTGAAAAAAGTGTTGTTTAAAAAGTGTTACAGAATGAGTGGTTTATCGAAAAGAAATTTAAGGCGTAACGCCCAAAGAGTGCGAATGGAGGTAGCTGCGTTGGAAGGTTTTGAACAGGCAAGTGGAAGTTTAGAGAGAATCAGCCATGATAGTACAGGGGGTAATGCAATTAATTATGAAGAGATTAATAACGATTCAGAGATTCAGGAACAATGGGAAGATTCAAATTTTATGGAAAATATTCCAGAAGAAGCACTCATAGGAGAGTCAACTTTGTCCGATAGTCGTCCTAGTTCGACATTAAGAACTAAATTAATAAGGTGGCACAGGCAGTGCAATGTTACTAGAAGTCAACTGGGGCAGCTCTTAATTATTTTAAAATCAGAAAATATTAATGTTCCGATTTCTGCTAAGGGTCTTTTGAAATCAGGAAATAAAAAGGCTATAATTCAAACAGTGACTCCTGGAACTTATGCACATATTGGTATAGAACCATACCTTATTTCTATGGAGGAACACCTAATCGATGGAAGCGAATTAATATTAGATATTAATGTCGATGGGTTACCTCTGTTTAAAAGTTCATTAACATGTGTTTGGCCTATTCTGGGATTTTTTAAAAACTTGAAAAATTCTGAAGTGTTTCTAATAGGATCATATTCAGGTAGTTCAAAGCCGGCCAATGTGAATAATTATCTTCACGATTTTATTGCCGAAATTTCAAGACTGGCTATCAGTCCTCTTCATATAGGTTCAAAGCAGGTCAAAGTTAGGGTCAATTCTTTTGTTTGTGACGCCCCAGCCCGAGCATTCATGTGCGGAACCCTTGGGACAAACGCATTGAACGGTTGCATGAAGTGTACTCAGGTAGGGAAAAGGGTCAACAATGTCACAGTATTTACAAATAAAGTAGGTACATTAATGTCAAACAGCGACTTCCGAAATAGGGTTTATCCAAACCATCACCAGCCCCTTTTTAAGGAGCAGGTTTCTTTAGGTATAGATTCTATACTATAGAACAATTAGATATTGATATGATCGCAGGATTTCCTTTAGACCGAATGCACCTGTTAGATTTAGGTGTTTGCAAAAAAATGTTAAAATATATATTTGAAGGGAAAACACTTGGGTTTAAGGTAAACAAGTACCGGCTAGGAGAAATTTCAGAAAACATTTTAGGCCTGAAGCCATTTCTGCCTGTTGAGTTTGGTAGGACGCCCAGATCTTTGGAAGAATTTCCAAGGTGGAAGGCAATAGAGTTTAGGCAGGTTGCCGTATACACAGGTATGGTAATTCTGAAACAATTTGTTTCAGAGGAGTGTTACAGGCACTTTTTAGTTTTTACCTGTGCATACAGATTGTTATTAGACAAAAAATATGCTCATTTCTTAGGTATGGCAGGTGAAATGCTAGATTATTTTGTTAGCCAATTTACAGTTGTCTATCCGCCTGAATCGTTGACCTACAATGTACACAACGTTCTTCATTTAACAGATTGCGTTCGAGAACAAGGGCACTTAACCGAGTTTACTGCCTATAAGTTCGAAAATTTTTTACAAAAAGTCAAAAGAAATCTTAGGAAGCCGAATAAAATTTTGGAACAGCTTGTAAAAAAATTTTCCTCGCCGATTCCGTCTCCCCAAACTAGGTTACTTGGAGAAAAGCGAGACAGGCACGGAAAAATTACAAAATATAATTTTCCAGAATTTACATTATCGACAAAAATGCCCGATAATGTGTGTTGCCTAAAATCTGGAATTCCTTTGAAAATATTAGAGTTTCGAACTGAAAACGATGTTATTTGTGTAAGGGGACAGCGATTTGCAAACAAGCGAGATTTTTTCAGCCTACCAATGCAGAGTTCGGCGATAGGAATACTTTTAGTGGACGCCAATGTTGACGAAGAAATTGAAACTCATCCAATTGCTGAAATTTCATTTAAATATTTACACCTGCCACACGAAAGTAATGAAATAGTTCTCGTGCCTCTAATTCACTCCATTTCCGATTAAAAATAAAAAACAATCAACCCTTTTTTTCTGAAGAAAGGAAAACATGTGATCACGCCTCTAGACGCCGACGCATACATCGACATAATTGAGACATCCACGGACACACATTTGCATATACATATGTAAGGATAAAAAACGAAAACACAATAACAAGTGTTGAATACAGTATTGAAATAACTACTAGTGATTGTTAATGTTTAAGGCATATATTAGATTAGCTCTAGGTCATATTAAACTTATAATAATATATAGTTTTAGTTAAATACATACCTTTTTTTAAAATTCACTTCCACAAAACACAATCACAAATGACGCCGCAGAAATAGTAGGGCTGCATCGCGATCTTTGTTGCACTTTGGTGTGACCACCACTTGTTTTCGCTAATTTGCATAATCGCAACAGCCATATACGAGTAAATTCATTTTTCTTAAAGTTAAATTGTTACAAAAATAACATAGGTGGCTGTTTGGAACACATGCATATAATTTTTTCAATCGGTATGCACCCCAAACACCATTTTATACGTCATTTAGTTATTTATGTATATTTTACATATTTATACCCTTGCAGGGTATTATAATTTCAGTCAGAAGTTTGCAACGCAGTGAAGGAGACGTTTCCGACCCTATAAAGTATATATATTCTTGATCAGCATCAACAGCCGAGTCGATCTAGCCATGTCCGTCTGTCCGTCTGTCCGTCTGTCTGTCTGTCCGTCTGTCTGTCTGTCTGTCCGTCTGTCTGTCTGTCCGTCTGTCCGTTTCTACGCAAACTAGTCCCTCAGTTTTAAAGCTATCTGAATTAGACATATACGCCGCCGCGCCACGCCGCCGCCGCCGCCGATTTTTGCCTTATTTGACGCGCCGCCGCCAAATTATGAAAATAACGGCGCGCCGCGGCGCGCCGCTGGTGCGGCATCGGCGCAGCTTCAGCGCGGCCTTCAGTGTCATTGTTCTTTATAAAACTTAAAAAAAAATAAATAACTCATTAAAATGGCCTTTTTGCCTTATTTGACGCGCCGCCGCCGCCGGTTCTTTCTGACTACTACGCCGCCGCCGCCGAGTCATTTTGACCTCTACGCCGCCGCCGATGCCTTTAACCATCGGCGTAAACCTCTAATCTGAATGAAACTTTGCATATAGTCTTCTATATACTCTCACTGCTATATATGTCGGAACGGGCCGGATCGGACGACTATACCATATAGCTGCCATACAAATGTTCGATAAGTTTTTAGAAAAAAAATTATAACTTAGCTGTTTTCCAACATATGTGCACTATTTTTAACATATGACCATTTTATATTATTTCTGAATTTTGGTAAAAATTTTATGAAAATCGGACGTCTATATCATATAGCTGCCATAGGAACGAGCAGGAAATTAATAGAAAAAAAATTATAACTTCGTTGTTTTTCAAACGATTTTTATCTACTCTGAGATATAAGCTTATTTTATTAGTTCAGAATTTTGGCATAAATTTTATGAAAATCGGACAACTATATCATATAGCTGCCATATAAACCGATCGGTAGATGTAGGGAAAATGTAAAACTGGGAATGTAAAACTGTAACTGTCAAACTCTCAACATAATAAGTATAGGTAAAATTTAATGAAATAATATCTGCAAGGGTATACAAACTTCGGCGTGCCGAAGTTAGCTTCCTTTCTTGTTTTAAAATTACTTCAAACTTCAAACGCGGTTATCTCGAAACAACGTTTTTCGAACTGGCGGCCATGATATCTCCAGCTCAACTGAACCGATTTTCATGAAACAAAGTGGAATCTACGCAGAATTGTCACCATTCTCGGGTGACAGGAGATTATAATTTTAAAAAAATGTATACTATTTTTTTTTTAACTAAACTACATAAAATAAGGCCGAAATTGAATTTTTTTTAATGGCCGCCACTTTGTCAAAAAAAAATTACAAAATTATTGTCCACTGTCACCCGAGAATGACATCTATACTGATTATAACCCCGTTTTTTTTTTTTTTTTTTCATTTGAGACGCTCCGGAGACCCGGAATCGTGGCCGCCGTGACGACACCTTTTTTTTCCACCACCAACTTTGAAGTACTTCAAATGACACGTGTCATTACTCTTTGAACAGCCCTCGTATCGAGGCAAAAATAATTTTTTATTTACTTTGAACATTTCTTAATACAATAAATAATAAAACTTTTCAATTATTCTTTGCGTTTTCAAATAAGAATTTTTTTAAAACTTTTTAATTGTTTTATACAAAATAAATATATTGGGATCATTCAGGAGTTTTACCTAGTTTAAAAGCAAATCCTAAGGTAATTGCGAAGAATTACATGCGGTTTTATTATCAATCGTCGCATTAAAAATAAAAATCCCCAAAGGGAATTTTCGTTCGAAAAAAGCCCTCCCATTTGCACAAGAATTTCATCCTCCCCTGTTCGCGTCCTCCCGAAAAGTCCGACTGGGCGTTTTAATATTCAGCTTTTGATTTTGGAACATGTGATGGCAACCTAGGATAGGGAAGTAGCCGCAAGACATAGCGCGGGATGAGCAGCGTCAAGCGGCGACTCTTTTTTGTTCTGTAGCCTATTTTTGCATCCCGCTCCCCATTTCTAGAGCAGTTAGTTTGAAGGTACCGCTCGATTAAGCGAGAAAGAATGTTTGCCGGGAACGCGGATCAACAACAACAAAAAAATATAAAAGGAAGTTAAAGTAAAAGTTTACATGACGCGAATGAATTAATATAAATTAGTTTATAGTTAGTGAAAAGTTTAAATTAGTGTTGGAATTGTTTTTTTATGTTTTTTTTTGTGGTGAGCAAACTAAAGAAGTGTAAGAAAGAAAAGCAGTTGTGGTACAATCGCATTCGAATATGAATTGTCGGAAGTATTAGGGCATTTTTATTTCTTTTTCGATTTCCCCCCCTCCTCTGCAGCTAGCCTCGTCGGAAGCGCTTTCGCCGATGGATTTGCACCAAGGGTGAGTGTAAAGATTGGATTATCTTCAAAAATATAAATGCCAAATGTCCGTCTGTCCGTTTCTACGCAAACTAGTCCCTCAGTTTTAAAGCTATCTGAATGAAACTTTGCATATAGTCTTCTATATACTCTCACTGCTATATATGTCGGAACGGGCCGGATCGGACGACTATATCATATAGCTGCCATACAAATGTTCGAAAAATTTTTAGAAAAAAATTATAACTTGGCCGTTTTTCAATATTATTGCATCATTTTTGGGATATAGCCTTTTTTTATTATTCCAGAATTTTGGTAAAAATTTCATGAAAGTCGGATGACTATATCTTATAGCTGCCATAGGAAAGATAGGGAAAGTAATAGAAAAAATTATAACTTCGTTGTTTTCAACGTATTTTCATCTACTCTGAGATATGAGCTTCACTTATTATTATAGAATTTTGGTATAAATTTCATAAAAATCGGACAACTATATCTTATAGCTGCCATAGAAGCGATCGGTAAATGTATAAAATATATAAAGCTGGGAATGTAAAACTGTAACTGTCAAACTGTAAACATAATAGGTATAGGTAAAATGTTATCAAACTCTGTTTAGTGTCTGTTTTCGGCATTATAATTTATGATATAAATATGAAAACCAATCTGCAAGGGTATACAAACTTCGGCGTGCCGAAGTTAGCTTCCTTTCTTGTTTCAAGGTCAAATTATGCCAGCGCCAATAATCCGGGTTGATAAAAAATCGGAAAAAAATGTTAAAAATAAAAACGTCATCTGAGTACCTCGGGGCACGTATCCTTTAGTGAATACAATATATTTTTTTGATATCGGATGTTTTTGTGGACAGTTAGGATAGGATGTACACCGAAAATAAACTTTTTTTGTGGGGGCTCAGGAGATTCGCTATTACTCGTAAGCATGAAAATATTTTTTAATACAAAAATTAAAAAAAAAATTGTTCAAATGTTGTGTTATTATATGGTATTTAATTCATTAAGCTAATTTTAGCCGTTTCGTCACAACATTTTTTTGAAAAGTAGTGAGTTTTGCACCCAATTAACCTTACCCCCCCCTTAAGCTGCGTACGATTGTTGCTGAACAAATTAAACACACAATATACACTGCGCGTCACCAGATTAGCGCCCCCCTTGGTGCTCGCGTTTGAAGTAAAATATTATCAAAACTATTAAAGATTGAACTGTACAATTATTATCCAATATAATTCGATTAATTCTCTAAATAAAAACATATATTAGAACGCAGTTGGTATTTGCATAGAATTGTATTAAATTAAAAACTAAAGAAACACGTTTATTTGGAAGAAAAAACTGCGTCATCAGATTAGCGCCCCCAAAATATAAATTTAAACATCTTTCTTAACTTGCTGAGCACAGCAACTATTTTTTTTTTTGCTGTTAAATTAAACATTTTTCTTCAATTTGACATACAATATGGGCAGAGGAACAATCTTATCTTCGGAGGAAAAATCGAAAATCGAAGCGTTTAATGAATGTGGACTTTCTCTTCACAAAATCGTCGAAAAAACGAGAAGACATCGCAAAACCATTGCAAATTTTCTTCAAAATAAGAAAAGCTATGGAAAAAATTACAAAGGAGGTAATAACAGTGTTATTAGTTCCGCAGATCGCAGTGCTATACTTCGAGAGGCGTGTAACTCCCACGACTCTACCGCCAAAATAATAGAAAAAACTTGTGTTAAGACAATAAAATCGACTTTTTTAAAGGTGATCAAGAAAGCTGACCCTTTAAAGAAGCTAAAACTAAAAAAAAACCACCCCTTAACCAAGTGCGAACAGAAATCCGCCTAAAGTTTGCTCACACGCATATGACATGATCCAATGAGAGGCATAACGTCGTATTTTCAGACGAAAAAAATGTAACATAGAGGGTCCTGACGGATATAATTATTATTTCCACTATTTACGCAAGGAAGAGCATCATCTGGATCGCTTACATAGTCGGGTTGGAGGAGTAATGGTATGGGGAGCCATATCCTATTATGGCAACTGCGAAGTGCAGTTTTTAACCCCAAAGATGAACGCGGAAAATTACAATTGCGTTCTAAAAACAGCATTTCCCGTTTTTAAAAACTTATTTCGAAATCTGAAATAGCATTTTCAGCACGACTAAGCCCCAATCCACAGAGCCCGGTCCGTAAAACTATGGAATCAAAAGGAAAATGTCAGTGTCCTGGAGTGGCCCCCCATACTCCCCAGACCTGAACATAATAGAAAACGTCTGAGGATGGTTAGCTAGGAAGGTGTACGAGGGTGGCAAGCAATATGCTACCAAGGAGGATTTAATTCACAGTATAAAACAGGCCTGGTCAACAATAACGTTGGAATATTTCAAAAACTTGTATGACTCTCTCCCCAATCGAGTTTGTGAAGTCCTTGTAAATAAGGGAGGGGCAACCCATTATTAAATTTCCTTAAAAATGATTAAACTTAATCATAAAATTGTTAAAGATAGTATTTTGTAAGAACTTTATCAAAAAAAGTTAAGTTAATGTAGGTGGCGCTAATCTGATGACGCAGTTTTTTCTTCCAAATAAACGTGTTTCTTTAGTTTTTAATTTAATACAATTCTATGCAAATACCAACTGCGTTCTAATATATGTTTTTATTTAGAGAATTAATCGAATTATATTGGATAATAATTGTACAGTTCAATCTTTAATAGTTTTGATAATATTTTACTTCAAACGCGAGTACCAAGGGGGGCGCTAATCTGGTGACGCGCAGTGTATAAGTGAATATTTTTTTTTTACTTTTGGGCACTTATATTTCACTAACGTTCTCATTAAGAGAACAAAAACTTAAAAATTAAAGTTAGGTCTTGGAAAAAAAATAATTTAATAAAAATTTTGTATGGGAGCTATACGATATAGAGATCTGATTTTAACCAAAGTTGGTAGGAATATATAAACCTGTACCAAACATATAATCTGTAAAATTGGTTAAGATATTTTGAAAAACAAAAAAGTTTTTCATACTAAATGTTGATTTTTAACAGATTGTTTCTATGGCAGCTATATGATATAGTCGAGCAATATGGCCAATTTTTTGTGGATATACTTAAAACATTTTTCTAGATTTTTGGTGAAAGTTTCATAGCGATAGCGCATCTAGAAGTAATTATGGCCGCAGCTCCATACAAGCCGAACCACTGTGCACCACCATAGCCGACGAGCGAAGCCGTGCAAATCCGCGTGCGCCGGAGTTTTGCAACAACATCTCGCCTGAATCGTTACACCAAAAATGAATAAAATATATAAAATAAATGGGGAATAAATAAATAAATAAAAATTATAACAATAAATACATAAATAAGGAGATTAAATAGATGAACAACAAGAAAGGAAGCTAACTTCGGCACGCCGAAGTTTTTATACCCTTGCAGATTGTTTTTGATGTTTGTATTATAGACTTAAATGCTGAAAACACACACAAAACAGAGTTTTATTACATTTTACCTATACTTATGTTTACAGTTGACAGTTAAAGTTTTAAATTCCGAGCTTTACATCTACCGATCGCTTCTATGGCAGCTATATGATATAGTTGTTCGATTTTCATAAAACTTATACTAAAATTCTGAAATAATATCAAAAGCTCATATCTCAAAGTAGATGAAAATACGTTGAAAAACAACGAAGTTATAATTATTTCTATTAATTTCCCGATCGTTCCTATGGCAGCTATAAGATATAGTCCACCGATTTTCATAAAATTTAAACCAAAATTCTGAATTAATAACAAAAGCTCATATATCAAAGTAGATGAAAATACGTTGAAAAACAACGAAGTTATAATTATTTCTATTAATTTCCCGATCGTTCCTATGGCAGCTATAAGATATAGTCCACCGATTTTCATAAAATTTAAACCAAAATTCTGAATTAATAACAAAAGCTCATATATCAAAGTAGATGAAAATACGTTGAAAAACAACGAAGTTATATTTTTTTCCTATTAATTTCCCGATCGTTCCTATGGAAGCTATATGATATAGTAATCCGATTTTCATAAAATTTTTACCAAAATTCTGGAATAATATAGAATGGCTATATCTAAAAAATGATAATATAATATAAGATAATATATGATATAAAAGCTAAAATGATGCAAAAATATTGGAAAACAGCCAAGATATAATTTTTTTTTCTAAAAATTTATCGAACATTTGTATGGCAGCTATATGATATAGTCGTCCGATCCGGCCCGTTCCGACATATATAGCAGTGAGAGTATATAGAAGACTATATGCAAAGTTTCATTCAGATAGCTTTAAAACTGAGGGACTAGTTTGCGTAGAAACGGACAGACGGACAGACGGACATGGCTAGATCGACTCGGCTGTTGATGCTGATCAAGAATATATATACTTTATAGGGTCGGAAACATCTCCTTCACTGCGTTGCAAACTTCTGACTGAAATTATAATACCCTGCAAGGGTATAAATATAAAAGGAAGTTAAAGTAAAAGTTTACATGACGCGAATGAATTAATATAAATTAGTTTATAGTTAGTGAAAAGTTTAAATTAGTGTTGGAATTGTTTTTTTTTTTATGTTTTTTTGTGGTGAGCAAACTAAAGAAGTGTAAGAAAGAAAAGCAGTTATGGTACAATCGCATTCGAATATGAATTGTCGGAAGTATTAGGGCATTTTTATTTATTTTTTCGATTTTGTGATGGGAGAAGAGTAGCCGGTCCGTAGATGTATTGTGACAATTTGATTTCCCTTCCCCCTTTCTCGTCGCTAAACGCAAATATTAATAAGTTACTGGTTGTAAAAGGCAACAGCGAAATTCCGGCAAGACCACCACCACCATAGCCGACGAGCGAAGCCGTGCAAATCCGCGTGCGCCGGAGTTTTGCAACCACATCTCGCCTGAATCGTTACACCAAAAATGAATAAAATATATAAAATAAATTGGGAATAAATATGAATAAATAAATAAATAAATAAAAATTATAACAATAAATACATAAATAAGGAGATTAAATAGATGAACAAAAATAAATATAAAACAAAATAAAAAAAAAAAAAACTCAGACTGAAGCCTTTGGTGGCTCCCTTTGCCGCCTCGTTGCAGGCTTGTCGGTCTTCAATTCTGCGGCACTATAGCATCGCCGAGATTCAGATGTACAGTGGCGTGACAAATTATGCGGTTCGGGTGGTCAAAAAAAAAAAAAATTATGCGGCACCAGGATTTTATGTGGCCATAAAGCAAGAGGTACCGCCAGCTCCAAAAATATTCGGCCACCAACACCACTATTCTCCGCCAGCATATATAAAAAAAATATGCGGTGATAGAAAAATGATGCTCCAGTACAAAAAAAAATTTCGCCAGGCCCGTCTCTTGGCCTGGCGTTCCTTCCTTGTAACCTGGTCCTGGTCGGCTTCTATATTTTAAACAAAAAAAAAAAAAATTTCTTGATCTTCTACATGTCCTGCCTAGTCCTCGACCACTCACCTTGAGGGTTCGCCGATCCAGCTTCACAGGTTCCTACTTCCTCCTGTTGTCTCCAAAAATAGAACTGCTCCACTTGATTATTATTTTCCACTTGGAATTAACATATATAGTTTTTTATTTCTCCTTAGGCCACTTCACAATTTTTAAATTTTCGCACCGCCGAACTGTCCCGCGCTCGATCGAATTCCTTTCTCTCCGGATTCCAAAACCAACGGAGGCAGCGACAACCGACAACACGCCATTCGAACTCGAACTCCGTTAGGTTTTTTTTTCGAGTTCTCTTTCATCGGGTGAATGAACCCACTTCCCGAAATGGCCTCAGTTGGCAGTCCTATTCCCAGTGCTACCCATTCCCACCTATCGATACCTGTGACCTCCGATCACCGATATGTCCGTCGGACACAACATTCCTAAGTAAAACATAAAGAACATATAACGGAAAAATTGGTTGCATTTTCAACCGGAATGGGCTGGAGGACTATCGATAGATCGATAGAGGCAGGATCTTTAGGACCAGGGGGGGGCAGGGATTCAAAAGAGCGAACCGGGAATAGGTAACGGGCTTAGGTTAAGGGAATTAAGAGAAAGGGTTTTTACCCTTGGCCTCGGCCGTTGCACCGAAAAAAGAACGGTTTCTAGGTGCGAACTCGGGTGACAGGCGAAGCCTATATAGGGAGGGATAGGCAACATGGAAGCCGGCAGTAGCAACGAAAAGTCGAAGTAAAAGCAGCTAATCTCCTGGGCGGCTAGGAATTACCTGAAGAACGTGGGTGAAAGTGCAAAGATTTTAAAACGTTTTATTTAATAAACGTTTATTTTCAGCGTGGCAGTGAATCAATCGCTGGCCACGGCGATTTTTTTGTTGAAAATTGTGTAATGATATACAAAAGCTTACCCACCGCCGACGTTCTGGAAAGGATATATTCTGGAGGAGAGGGATAAAAAAACCATTTCCAACGAGCCTCGTGGCAGCCGGTGTGCTGTTGTTTTTGTTAGGTTAATTTATTTGTCTTTACCCATCCCCTTTATTTCTCTTGGAGCTCCAGCAGGGATAATAGGTAGAAAAGAAAAGGGAATATCAAGTACCTCTCCTGCCAGGTTGTGGCTTTTGCCTTAAGCGGACCGCCGCTTCTTCTCCGCTGCCGCAGTCTTGGCGCGAGCGCATCCCGGGCTAGGGTGACGTTTCGCCGGGAATGAGTCCATTAGGAACTCTATTGTACTCTGCCACTGTTAGCATTAAGTACCTAAAATTTGTATAGTATTAAAAGCAAACGCAATGAACAGTGAGTAAAACGTATTTACCTGGGGAGATGGGCCGGCCGTCGAGCCGCCTGGATTAGACTCCGGTCCGCCGGAGATGGGTGGTGCCCCTAGACACACCGGAGGCACCACAGGTTGGGCGGGAGCGTCGTGGCGACTCCATCTATGCCACCATTCCGCGAAAGTCGTCATTTTTTGGTTTGTTTACATTTATTTGTTAGAGATGTGTTATTTCATGTAGTGAGGAGTTTTGTTGAGACGTCCGATTAATCGGTATTTTGTTGTGCGGACTGCGGGCATAGGTTCCTACCCCCCCCCCTGGGCATCCACTGAGCTAGTCCGGCATTGCCCAGGGAATATGCAGTTCCGTAACAAATTAAACATAAATTCAGCACTGGCGTTTATAATAATAAATAGTGATACAAAAAAATTCAAAAATGCCTCCTTACTATTAGCATGAATTTTATGAAATAAATATTCTTAAGTAATTGCATGAATTTAAAAGCGTGGCAAGGAAAGAAAGAACAAATGAAAACTTGGTTTATTAAAATGAATTTGTTTCGTTTAAATTCCGCACATTGGGTCAAAGAAAAATACAAATTTGGCAGCTTGCCTTGCTTATGGGTTTAGTCATTTCATTTACGTAATTTCTTTTTGTACTTTTTTATTTGCTTTAGTGTTTTGCGCGAGAATGTATGTATAAGGCATTATTAATTTGAAGGATTCTCCAATCTTTCTCACTCATCGACGAGGCTAGCTGTAAATGAGGGGGAAACTAGGAAAAAAACAGAAGGAAGCTAACTTCGGCACGCCGAAGTTTGTATACCCTTGCAGATTGGTTTTGATATTTATATTAAAAATTTAAATACTGAAAACACACACAAAACAAATAGTTGTCCGATTTTCATAAAGTTTATACCAAAATTCTGAAATAATAAAAAAAGCTCATATCTCAGAGTAGATGAAAATACGTTGAAAAACAACGAAGTTATAAATTTTTTCCTATTAATTTCCCGATCGTTTCTATGGCAGCTATAAGATATAGTTGTAGTAGTAAAATTTATACCAAAATTCATGAAAATCGGACGACTATATCATTCGATGTACATAGATGTACAGAAAATGTAAAACTGGGAATCTAAAACTGTAACTGTCTAACTGTAAACATAATCAGGCCTGCTCCGGTAATCGTAAAAAATTTTCGATTTCGTTTTGGGCGAAAACGAACCGTTTTCGTTTTTAGCTGCTCCGGTTTTCGGCAAATTTCTGCTATCGGATGTTTCGTTTTCTCATCGTTTCTCACTGCTCAAGCAGCTAACTTGTGTTGTTGGTAATAAGCAAACAACGTAAAGTACTGTCTACTATATTTACAATTGCCCTTTTTCTAAGCCAGAAAAAGGCAAAAAATGGTCGAGTTAAGCAAATCTAGGCACCTAAGATGCTGCCACACTTTTCACAGTTTTAATTCCGGTGGTCTCAAATAATTATTTGGTTAATTTGGACTATTTAAGTAGTAAAATTAAATAGCATTAATTATAAACAACTATTTTGGCGGTCCTTTAAAGTTATTAATGTATTCATTTATATTTTATAAGTATTTTTAACTGGCTGTTTCGTTCCACCAACAATATGGCAACTTTGGCGATAACTTTTTGCGGTGAACTTATCGGCCTATCGCCAAAACGAGAAAACTGGTTGAACACGGCAAAAATTTTGTTGTCAAATCTGAGGAGGGGTCAGAAATACATTTTTTATAAAATAACTACCTGCCAGAATGATCTTGTGGTGGTGTGGAATAAACATCAATAGACCACCGAGTAAACTATTTTTTTCCTTTTGTAAATAAGATCTGAAAAAGGTGCCCGTTTTTCAAATCGACAAAATCTTTCGTTTTCGATTACCGGAGCACCAATTTCTCGTTTTCAAAAACGAAAACGAAAAAATCTTGCCGTTTTCGATTACCGGAGCAGGCCTGAATAAGTATAGGTAAAATGTAATGAAATAATATCTGCAAGGGTATACAAACATCGGCGTGCCGAAGTTAGCTTCTTTTCTTGTTATCAGTGCTGGGGTAAAAGAGAATGGCAGAAGTGGGATCATAGTAATTAGGCATTAAGACAAAGCTTAAAAGTCCCTTCATACTCTCAATGCGCCAAACTCTAGGATGCATTCATATATGCCTAAAAGTAGGCTTTAAAAGTATATCTCGAGGATGGGGCTAAGGGAAAGCACGCTAAGGTCGTTGCTGGTTACAAAGTGGTCAGAGTATCGCTCCTATTAAGCAAACTCTCGGAGAGATACTCTATCCAAAATGGAGTTTGCTGACAACGCCAGCGTGGGCCAGGGATTTGCTGAGGCTCTGGCCGACGCTTCTAGCTATTCCTTTTGAAACCTCAGAGCGAGCGGACGTATGGCCCAAATTGGTTATAAATTTTTACGGTGCTACCTAATTTTGAGCCAAGTAAAGGCAAACGTTGCGCGGATTTATCCGTTTTTTATTATTTAATTTGTGTCTTAAACAACTTGGGCGAGCCCCGAAAAATTTTGCAGCTGTTAATGGACGCCGAACATTAGCCTAAACTAGCGTCCACCCGCTAGAGAAGCCGCTGTCGGCCGCTCCACACCACTTTCGTCGCCTTCTTCAGTTCCGCCAGTCGTTCCTAATCGCCTCTCCCGAAAGCTCTAGTTCGGCTTAAAGCGCAGCAGCGAGCGCAGCGGCGGGCGAATCGCTCCGATCGGGAGACGTGCGGGGCGGAACTCGGAACCCGGTGTAGTGTGCAACGTTGAAGTTTGTCTGCTTTAGGAGGATCTGAGCTGCTGGGGCACGCTGTATGTATCCGGCTCTAGCTCGTCGGCTTTGGGGGTGGTGGTCTTGCTGACCCAGACCTCGGACACGGACTACACATCATTACTAACAAGACCAGAAATTGAGCGTGCTGCGAAAAAAATTAAAGCTAGAACTAAATCGGAAGATGTGATAAACAAAATTCGCTGAAGGAGAGAAGTTAGAGGAAAAGCAGCAGTTTAGAGAAAGGATAGAAGGACAGAGAGAAAATTAATTTGTTTGCGGAGACACAGATGTTGTTGTGCTCACATGTTGCCCACCCTACCTACGATCACCTGCCGCTAGAGCATGGCTCTGGTGATCCCTTTTGATCCTTACGACCGTGGAGTCATCTTCGAGTCGGTAAAACGCAGATATTTAAGACATTATGATTTCATTAAACATTCAGATTTAATATAAATTTAGTGATTAAGGCTAACATTATCTATAAATTCATTTAAAATCAGGCTAAGAAATGGATTATGTATATATATGCTTAAAAATAATAAAAAAAAAATAATATCTTTTAATATATGTAGTTGTTTTATTTAATTTAACTTTTGTTTCGAACACTGCTCTGGTTTGCATTTTTTTTTTTTTTTTTTTTTTAAATGGTTAATTTAATTTGCTTCATTTATTTCGGAAAAATTTCAATAATAATTAAAGTTTGATTTTTTTCTTTTAGCAGCCGTAGTTCCTTATTTAATTTCTTGCAATATTTTCTTCAAAGTAATTCATTATCTTTAATATGTAGCGATTTTCAATTCAACATTATCTTTTAGCACAGGGTAGAAACGTATTTATGTTCTTTTCCTCTTCGCTTTTGTTTAAACTTTTAATACACACACGGTTTCCTTTTGTATTAACACTCACTCATTTTATTTTTCCTCCATCGGCGAAAGATCGATCTCCCTCGAAGGTGAGCTGAAATTCAATAGTTGCAAGTTTCATGGCATTAGTTTGAACAAAGCGGAAAAATTGACTTTTCTTCCTACTCTATCCTTCACATTGAGCAAGAAAATAATACAAGTTACTTAAACATAGTTATTTACAAATTTCTTTAAATATTTAAAAATTATTAATTACGTTTTATAAATTCATGCAGAAGGTTCTTCTCATCGTTATTGACTTCTAGGCGCAGCAAAAGTTTACAAAGGAAAACTCCATACGCAAGAGTTATGACACGCCATGTAGGCCGAGTCAAGTTTGAGCAGTTGGGAAAACCAAGTTTTAGTCGAGGTTAAAATCCGGAGATTACACAATTTAATTGCTGCACTTAATTCGCATTTAATCGCATTTACTTTGCCTATGGCCACTGATCGGGACTTCTGACTACCAATATTCATAGCTCCGACCAATAGTCAAAGCGTAAAAGGACACAGAGGTCATGCCAGGGTCAAACACTTCGAGCCTCTGCTCACTGCCTAACTTGCAACCAAATTTGCCGCAACTACATAGCCGGCCACTAAATTATGTCGCGGTGATGGCCGATTTATTCGCACAAGCACAGTAGTTTAATTCCTCTCTCCTTCCGGCTTCCTAGCCCTTCATCCCCACTTAGGGGGTGCTCCTCGGGACCGGAACTTAAATGCTGCTTGCTGGGCTCGATCCACTGAATAAAATATATCCACAGTAAGCAACAAATAAATAACACTATTTCATAATTCATTTACCCGCTGATTAAAAAGGGTTCCAACGAAAATAAAAGAGGGTTTCCAAGATATAACCTCTCTCTCGGTGCTGGTCGACGCCTGCGGTCGATTTGCTATCTTCGCTGACAATTAATTCGGCGACCTGGGCAACAGAAGGGGTTACGCACTGTACACCGGCACTGACAGCTTTTGCAAACTCACTTGGGATTCCTTAAGATCTGGCAAAAACTTCTCCACTCGATATACTGTACCTGTGGACTTGGCACTTTATATGTCTTTAGGCTGCAGGAGCAACTTGAGGGCTTGTGCACTCCACCGATTCTCAATTCGAAAAGAATTTAGTACGGAAACGGAGGGAGTGAATTAGGTGCAGCTCAGTGCAGAAAAATTTCCTAATTGGAACTAGAGCTTTCCAAGCAAGAATCTGGTCTTGCAAAAAAAAACATATACGTGCAGCTGCCGAATTTTACGCATGTGCATTAGAAGCTCGGCTTAAAAACTGGGAAAACCGTTGCCTGCTTTTAAGCTGACATCTGTTTGTGCCACCATATACGCCCCAAAGCTTGGCTTAAAATTCACAAAATCTGTAGCATGCTTCTAGGCCCAAAAAAAAATCTCGTGGATCTTCAGTCGCCACTACACCAGAAACGTTTCAATTCCCAAGTGGCAGCTGCAGCCGACCCAAAACGGCCATCGGAGGAGCGGCCTGGAAAAAATCCGGTGCACTTCCGCCCGGATTCGGCAGTAGAAGCCGAGCTTAGTTTTTTTGTGTGTCCAACTACACTCATAAAAATGTTTGCCTAAAATCGCCCTTAAAAAGCCGCTTTTCGCCCGTGTATTTAGAAATTCGCCATAGAAAATATGTAAATTAACCCTAAAAAAGTGTATTTATGGCGGCTTGTCTTGATTTTACGGTGCCTTGCCTTAAATTCATGAAAACCTTTTCTTAATTCCAGAAAAATTTTCTAGGTTTAACGGCGTTTTTTTTTATGGCGATTTTTCTTAAATCTAGAAAAATATTTTTATGAGTGTAGGGAAGAGCATGCATGTTTCATGGAAAATAGGAAAACTAAACCGAAATGTGGTCGAATAAATTTAAGTTAATTATGGAATACTAATTCGTCTCAATTGGGGACCATGCAGGGCCCAAAGTCGAGAAGGAGGATCCATAGGACTTAGATGCGTGTCACAAGGGATTCCGGCTACCAACAGCTGGGAGGCTGTCGCAATCATGGTAGGGTGGGCGTGACAGCAGCAGATCACCAGGGCTGCTACGCTTCCGGACAAGTAGGTTCCCCTTTTGTGTTTACTCTTTTCCCTTCTCTCGTCCATTCCTTTGTTGTTGATTTTTCTCTCTTTCTCCCGCCAGCACCTGAAACTAAATTACGAATATATATACCCGACGACTCTTTAGGACCCCCTCCTTACTCCCACTCCCAGATACCGACAAGACCCATAGCCGGACCACTTCGCGTGCATCCCAGCGAAGTTACCCCCCTCCATCCGTCGTCCGATACTCATACATATCCTTAGGGATAAGTTACAGCAGCTTTGTTAAGCTACGAAAAGCTAATTTAGAACCGCTTTCTGAATGGAAATTCATGCATTTTGTAACGATCAGGCGAGATGGTAATGCTCGTCGGCTATGGTGGTGGTGGTCTTGTCTGAATTTTGCGTTTGCCTATTACAACCAGTATCTTATTAATTTGCGTGCTGCGACGAGAAAGGGGAAAGGGAAATCAAACAACCCCAATACACATACGGACAGGCTACTCTTTACTACCACCAATTTAGGGCTTTGGATCCTCCGCTGTTGTGGAGGTCCGTTGTCAGCCCTCCCTGCCTTGGCCATCTAATCCACTACTAAACATATTTTTTCTTGATGACCCCTTCTTGATGACAATCGCTGACTCTACTGGGGCGACATGCTGGTGGAGGCAATAAAATGAAAGGTTTTTAAAACATTATAAAAGTTATTTATTTACTAAGCGAAAACATAAAGAACGTATACTTGAAACATTAAACCTAAAATAAAACAATAACGTGTAGAATGATAAATAATAAAACTTCAAAAATTTCTTCTTACAATAACCTGAATTTCATGAATTAAATATTCTTTATTGATTTTATTTGTTTTCTATGTGTGGCAACGAAAGAAAGCAGTTTGGAAAATTGGTTGGAATAAGTTTAATCGGGTTAATTTTATTTACGCACAGTGGGCTAAACAAATTAAAATTCTGGCAGCTCTATAATCGCGGAACGGGATGTAGGAATAGGCTAAAGATCAAAGAGAATCGCCGCTAGGCGCTCGCTCATCCTGCTATGCTGTGAGGCTACTTCCCTATCTTCGGTTGCCCTTCACATGCTCAAAGATCCCGAAAATTACAACGGTGCCACTCCGATGACGAGGGGGCTGAGGGGCTCCTCTATTCCCTTGCGTCGGCGCGCTGCTGCTGTGCCCGCTTGGCGGTACGCCGTAGCATCGTTTTAGGCGGTCCGCTGATTCCGCTAAGCCAGGCGAACTCCGTTACGCCACCTTCGGCAAATTATCCGATTAATTGAAGTGTTCTTTGGTAAACCACATTTTTTGTGATGTATTGTGGTTAATGGAATTATCTAGGGACCGCTCTGCACCTTTCCCTCTGCCACGATTGGAGCTGCGCTAATACTCCCTAGATGGCGCCAGGGAAATATATTTTAACCTCTGCCATTAAATGCGCCACCTATTGAATTTCTAGGAAATTTCCGAATGAAACTTGGGTTGTTACACTTAGGGAAAAAAACTTTTCTTCTTTCTTATTTTCCAGGAGGCTTTCATGCCAAGTCTGCAAGCCACTTAAAAATGTCCCGGAAATAGCCGGAAAGTCTGCACCCGTTCCTCGAAATAACCCGGACCCTGTTGTGCCCCCCGTCCTTTCCACCAAATGGAGAAAGGACCCTCATAGTTGTCTGCTAGATCTTGTCTGAAAAAAAAGACTAGAAAAAAAGTCTACCTAGGGCAAGTCAAAGGAATCCTTTTCTTGGGGAGCTAAGGATTGGTCTTACCACAAACCATGTCCAATGTCCACATCCAAATAGTTTAGCTTCGTTTTATCCCTTGATTGACGCTCAGCAAGACAGCAAAAACCAGAAACATCAAAAGAAAAGTCTGTCCTTTAGTTTAAACAATTATTAAATGTATTTTCTTGTTCGCTTTGTTGGTTGTGTGTGTGTGTTTCGGCTGTTTGCTTGTTGCCTGTTGCCTTGGCTTGTTGCCTGGGCTGTGGCTTGCCTTCGTTTGATTGATTGATTGATCTAATGGTAAATACACTGTCGCGCACTGGTCGCAGTTACTAGGCAAAAGTGGGAGTAACTAACGTAACACGGAACCAACTGACTGCTAACCTCGATGTCCAATACGATATCGAGCTAGTTCGCATTATCTTAGCCACTATATAAAAGATTTGCATGTACATCTAGGGCGTAATTAAACGTTAATGGGAGGAAGGTTAACATAACCTCGCTCGGGCATTACCATTACATTTACAGGGGGAACTAGTCCTAAATTAGATACAATTATTCATATATTTGTATATATATATAACCGTATGCCGTCCTGCTGGCCAAAGGATTATCGTAGGGAAACCTTTACAACAATTTTAAGCAGCATAAAAAAAACCCTTTAAATTTAGAATGGAACTTTTGCAAACAATCTTTGGCCAGCAGGCAGACGTTGAAGCTACGGTTTCAAAATTAAATTTGAGTTGTTTAAACTTAGTTAGAAATTGCAGGGTCCGGGGTTCAGGGTTCAAGCTGCAGTTCAGAATCTGGCTAAACGAGTGATAGGGAGAAGGAGGATTAGGATTAGGATTTGGATGTGGGGTTAACTACGGTCTACTACGGCCTAGAAGCGCTGCGGCAGTATTTCGTTCTTGATGCCTCGCAGCGCATGCTTCTTTTTGCGGTGCGTGGACAGGTTGCAGGACTGCTTGAAGGATGCACTGCACAGCTCACAATTAAAGCGCCGCTCCTTGCTGTGCACCACACGGTGTAGCTCCATCCGCGACTTGTACTTGAACTTGAGCCCGCACGTCTCATAGTCGCAGACGTACCAGCGCTCGCCATCGTCCGAGGACACAGCGCTACCGGCACTCGCCGTCGTGCTGTTCGAGTCTTTGGGCAGCTCTTGACTGGCGGCTAGCATGGCAGCGGCCATGGCAGTCGATGGCGTCACATTCAGGCTGAGATTGGTGAGTCCCGCTCCGGTCTGTTGCTGTTGCTGCTGCAGCACGGCCGTCACATTCGGCGGCGTTGTGCTGACCGTGTTGGAGGTGCTGGTGCTGGCGCTGACACTCACAAAGCCAGGCGTGGGCGGCGGCGGTGGGACCACTGGTGCTGGGACTAGCTGCGGTAGATGATAGATGGTGCCCGCTGCTGCCGCCGCCGCTGCAGCCTGCATCTCCGGCGTCATGGTTAGTTGGGAGGGTTCGATTTTAATGTCAATGCTGCTGCGTGTGCTGCCCTCGCCGCCGCCAATGGCTGCTGCTGCAGCGGTAGCGGCGGCCACAGCATTGGCATGCAGCTCGGCCAGCTCCTTGGCCACATCCCGCTGCTGCTGTTGCTGCTGGAGTTGTTGCTGGTGAGCCTGCTGTTGCTGCTGTTGGTGTTGCTGCTGCTGTTGCTGCTGATGTTGGGCCTGGTGTTGCTGCTGAACCTGCTGCTGTACTTGTACCTGCTGCTGCTGCTGTTGTTGTTGTTGCTGCTGCTGTTGCGCCTCATGCAGCTCCGCCTCGCGCTGCTCCTCCTCGGAATACTTGGTCGAGCAATGGTACAAAGCTAAAGGCACTGTGACCGCCGTCACACTGCCCGCCCCCTGGGAGCCGCTACCGCCTGGCGTGGCCGCACCCGCAGCCGCTGCGGCCGCCTCCACATCGGTGAGGCAGTAGCTCGAGGTTCTGCTGTGCTCCTGCTACAGGAATAAGCCCAGGGATTAGTTTTTGGGGGTATTATAGCCCTTAAGCCCAGTGCTCTCACCTTGGCAACGCCATGCAGAAAGTTGTGCTCGTCCTGGATGTGCTTCCAGAACTGATCCTGCGTTTGGAGCTCCTCCTGGCACGTGTGGCAAACGATCCAGAAGCTGTCGCCCGACAAACAGAACTCGCCCAGCTTCGTGTAGATTTTGTTGTTCTTGCTGAGGATGCGCGGAAAGCCCATTGCGTCGTTGTTGCGTTTGTTTATGTTTTCTTTTATGTTTATGGCCCTGGTAGCGAGCTCTGGCCCTGATGCTGCATCCCCGTCGCCGGTTTGCCCCGAAATACCAACAGTTGTTTGTTGCTGGGCAGGCGTTTTTCACGTTTGAAGCTGCGGGCACACTAATTTGTGGCGGTGAAGAGAGCGGATTTTGGAAATTGTAAACATTAAATTTGTGATGAATGAGTGGGAGAAATATTAGATTTTTTATTTAATTAATTAATTAGATAATCACTAAAAGTGATTGAGAAATTTTATTAATAAAAACTGGCTCGAAACCAGTGGTTTCTTATCGATATTTCCTAGGTTTTTAGAAAATACCGATTAATCAATTAAAGGTGGTATTTCTTGTGTTTTAAAAAATACCAATGGGCGCCGATCATCTTCGTTCGATCAGTATCTTTATCTCTGTGTTTGTGTTGGTGTTTCCGGAGCTGATAAGGCTGCTGCCCCCCCAGTGTTTCAAGTGTTTCATCGTTCTTAATCGGAAAAGATTTATAATTTGCCAATCCGTAGCAGAGCATGGCCAGCAACAACAAAACCGCTTCAGTGAAGATCACCAGCAACATGGTCAACGAGCTGCAGTTGGAAGATTCCAAGGAGAAGCATGTCAAGGTCAGTTTTCGAGTTCAGAGCGAATATCAGACCTAACCTTGGCACCTTGACACTCAACTCCACAGACGTCGATTCCCAGCGATGGCAAGTGGTTATCGCCCCAGTTGATGATTGTGTTTGCCGATGGCGATCTTCATTCTGCCCGCCAGCAGTTGCTTCAGTCCCTACAGAATCCCTTTGCCGGCGAATCGGTGGCCACGCTGCTGCTCCAGGAGAGCGTGGCTGATCAGTTTGTGGGTCTAGTGGCCGAAGATCTGCGACCGCTTGCCAACGACGTGGCCAAGCATCCCAGTTATGTCAAGACTTTGGCCAAAATCGATCAGCTGAAGGCCAAGGTGGTCAGGGGAAAGAACCTAAAGGCAGGCGAGGAATCACCGCTGCTGGTCTATGACTGCGTGCACAGTTACCTGGGTGATGGCACCACCACCATCACCGGTGTGGTCACTCTGCACATATTCCGCACCGCCAAGGAGGCCGGCGAGCTGGCTAAGCGGGATCCTTTGCCCTATGGCCAGGTGAGCCTGTGGAACGAGAAACTGGCCAGTGCCTACGAACTGATTCCACGGCTACCGGGCAATGTTGTTGCTCTCAATTGCTTCAATCCGGATTTGAGTCCCATTAAGGCATCCTTCGATGCGGATCGCAACGATGTGGCTCTCGTGAAGAACTATCACTACGAATCCCTAGCGTTGGGCAATGGACAGCGAAGGATCATTGTCTTTCCCGTGGGCACAATCTTTGCCAACTAGAAACTGGAAGGCAGAAAGACAACAGGAAGCCACTACGGACAGGAGGCGGACTTCCAGTGAACAAATTCAGGTGCATGTTCAGAATTTACTTTGAAATTACCTCTTTTTAAGCATTTAAAATGTTAGTAATCTTTTTTTTTTATTGAAAATATCATAAAACCCTTAACAAATCTCGTCCTGAATGATGGGCAGGGGGCATTAGGGCAGGTCCAGGAGCTCCTTAGAGCAAGCAACAGGCATTTTGCTGACATGCGCGTTCTCAAAAGGAGCATCCAGGTACGCTCTGCATAAAATACACAACTCCCAGCAAAGGGTACACTGTCAGCTACAGTTGCGGTCAAGAAAATAGGTTCTATTTGGTGATGTAAAATTATTTTAAATTTTGTTTCGAAATTAAATTCCTATTAATTGATTAATTATCAGTTAAAGATTTTCATTGTATGTTTAGCATTTTTTTAACAAGGAAACTTATTAAGAATATTATTATTTAACGTTTTGAGTAATTTAGAAAAAAGTCTAATTGAGTAATTAGTTACATGAGCATAATAAATTCAATTTTTTCCTTTAAAAAATTCCCTTATTTTCCTGTAAAAAATTGCCTTAATATGAAAAGGTTTTTTAAAGAAAACAAATGGAAAATTTATTATTTTTATTTTTTAAGTAATTAAAAATTAAAACTTTAACGTTTTAGTTTTAATTTTAAATAATAATAAGTTCCCTTCTTTTCCCTAAAAAAAACTACGTTAATATGTGATTCGTTTTATTGGATTTTTTAAAAAGAAAACAAGAGAAATTATTATTTTTCCTTCTAATTAATTTAAAATTAAAACTTAAATACTTAATTTATTTAAAAAAAATGTTCCTAAAACTTTAAATAATAATTTTCCCAATCAGTTTCCTATACATAAAACGTAAGTCTCTAATTGATTTTTAGAAAGGGAAATACTTAAATGTTTTTTGCTCTTTTTTTTTGTATTTAAATAAATTCCACGTTGTACATTAGAGCTTTGTTACTCATAGTTTAGTTGCCATTACTAATGTATTGGCCACGGTTATGTTTAGTGTACTTCGGGCGTGTGTGTGTATTTGTGCAAATGTCTTGGCTCTCGCTCTTTTATTTTATGACTGTTGTTTTTTTTGCTGTGGGCAGTAACAAAAACCTTTTGCAAGTTTAGTTACAAGTACGATAGTTCCCATTTAGATTTCGACTATCTACGCTTTGTGTTTTTCATTTCCTCGTCCAATACAGCCAGTGTCTGTGGACGTGGGTGTGGGTGTGTGTGTTTGTGTGGGAAATAATCTGTTACTAAAGAAAGATATTGTATATTTTGGGTACTTTACAACAATTGCTTATCCTTCTCTCACCAGCGCTCGCTCTCTGTGTCTCTGTTGTTGCTTAATTCCAGTATTCGGCCCCTTTCTCTTTTTCGCATCTCTCACTCCCCCTTCTCTTCAGCTCTCTATCTCTCACTCTCTCCCGTTTGTGGCACCTCGGGGGTGACGTAGCTCACTTGGCTGCCATTGCTCCACTTTCACACAGCTGTGAGAGCGAGAGAGAGTGCTTCTAACTGGAGAGAGAGCAAGCTAGCTAGCTGGTTGTTGTCCATAGGCGTAGTGGAAGGGGTATAAGGGATTATCAACTTAAACTAAGATTTGTACATCAAAATCTACAAATATTCTCGTTTCATAAACTTTATTTTAATAAAAACCACACAACACACACAAACCCCCGGAAAATCCAACAAACTACGCCCATGCTGCCTTCGTTCCTCTTGTGGTTAGAAGCAACGTTTGTTGGCGCTTTTGTTTAGGTTTTTGTTGTTGCGCCAGTTGTGTTGTGTCAGTCTGCGCTGGTTCCCGCTGAAGTGGTGTCGTCGTCGTCGTCGTCGTCCGCTCGCTCTGTGTCCAAACTCCGGTTGTCTTTACCGCTCCCGCTCCAGCTAGACAACAGCTCCATTCCGCTCGATTTGCTCTGCTGCTCCAGAAAATGCGCTGGCAGCTGCAGTTCCAGCTCCATCTGCATTTCCAATAAGAGAAACGCCACCAGATGCCGCCGCACAAGTGGACGGATGAGTCGCGGGACGCATCCTGCTATTACCCGGACACCGCTGCCTCCCGTTTCCGGCGACCCTCGTCCTCGTCGAACTCCACGGGCTCCCAAGGAAGGTCCGATGACGAGGCCGATGACGAGCGGGAGGCGTTTTGCTCCGGCGAACGACCGCTGATCCGTTCCCGCGGCGCAGGAGGAGTGGAGGGTGAGTGTACTAGATAAGATATGCGAGGGAAAAATAGAGAATATCAAAAATTATTAATAATAATTTACATCGTTGAATGTATTTATTAGTCTCACTTAATTGTTAGAATATTATTTAGTTATTAAAATATTTTTCTACATGAAGTTTTAAAATTAAAAAAAAAAAATTTTTTTAATTTTCATTTATTTTGCTCATAAATTTTAGTATTTAAATTTCTTAAAATAATATTTTTATAATATTTGTCTCTTATAAAATAAATTTAAAAAAATTAACAATTTTAGAAAAAATAGTAATATAAAAGTAAAATTTATATTTGCATAGAAATAAGTCTAAGGCTTATTTATAGATTTTTTTTCTAGAGGGTTCTTATTTTAGACATAATTATATCATACTTTTATATTTAAGTATTAAACTTCTTGGTTTTTTTAAGGTTTTAGTTATAAAGATTACTTATTTTAGACATAATTATTTATTATTAAGTTTTAAGCTTTTTTCTGGGTATTTTTTATAGGGTTTTTAGTTTGAGAGATTATTTATTTTAGACATAATTCTCTGAAACTAATATTGCTTAATTCTTTTCTCATCTTTTTGTAATTTTCTGGCTCTCAATTTCATGGAATTTCATTGAGTTCACAGCATTTCACACATTTGTGTTTAAAATCAGTTGAACTTGCTTAAGACAAACCGAAAGAAAGTGGCTAAAAACTAAACCAGGTTAATCACTAAGAACTGAAAAAACAAAGCAGAATACATATTTAAAAATTAAGCTGTATTTAAAAGCTAAAAGTTAAGGTTCCTTAAAAGGTAAAAGTAATAAGAGTTCTTAGAAAATTGTATAAATACTCAACAAAAAACTGTGATCTTTGTGATATTAGCAAAACTAATATAATAATATCTCTTCTAGTTTGTAACCATTAGCTAGCTTTATTTAAATAAATCTAAACAATATTATCCTACTATCTTAAACAATACATTACATTCCATCTAAGTCGAAATCATAACTATAAATACGCCTCCTAAATAATGATTTCCTCTCTCTCCACAGAGAACAACGATGCCTGCTGCAGCCTCAAGACTCGTCACATTTTCGGTTTCATGGGCTTCCTGGGCTTTGCCGTCGTCTACGCCATGCGGGTCAATCTCTCGGTGGCCATTGTGGCAATGGTCAATCAAACGGCCATTCCGCACACCAACTCCTCCGTAGTAGACACCGACACTTGTCCCATGCCAGAACCAAATCGCAATGATAGCGACATCAATCCGCAGAAGGAGGGCGAATTTGTGTGGGATGAGGCCACGCAGGGCTTGGTCCTTGGCAGCTTCTTCTATGGCTATGTGCTCACCCAAGTGCCCGGCGGACGAATGGCAGAGCTCTATGGCGGCAAAAAGATCTATGGTTATGGCGTATTGGTTACGGCAATATTTACGCTCCTCACACCGCTGGCCGCCCACTGGGATCTGCCGCTGCTGGTGCTTGTCCGCATCCTAGAAGGCATGGGCGAGGGCGTAACCTATCCGGCCATGCATGCCATGCTGGCCCACTGGATACCGCCGCTGGAGAGGAACAAATTTGCGGCTGTAGTATATGCTGGATCCAATATTGGCACTGTCATCTCAATGCCCCTGGCCGGTTGGCTTTGCTCCTTGGACTTTTTAGGCGGCTGGCCGTCTGCCTTCTATATCTTTGGACTGTTGGGCATCTTGTGGTTCGGATGCTGGATGTATCTGGTGTACGATAAGCCGGCCGATCATCCCAGGATCTCGTGTGCGGAAAGGGAGTACATAGAGGGAAGTTTGAGAGTGATTAGCGAGGCAGAGCTACACCTGGAGACGGAGGAGGAGGAGGCGGACGAGGAGCAAGCCATTCAGGCCGAGGAGGAAGTTCTTTCCGTTCCGGACAGATCGAGGACACAGAGGTTGCCTGCAGAGGAACCCATACCCTGGCGATCGCTGCTAACATCCGTGCCCCTGTGGGCAATTCTCCTCACGCAGTGCGGCCAGGGCTGGGCCTTTTACACGCAACTAACGGAGCTGCCCACCTATATGAGCAACATCCTGCACTTTGACATCCAGTCAAATGCCCTGCTCAATGCTGTTCCCTACCTGACCGCCTGGTTCGTGGGCATCGCCTGCTCCGCCCTCGCCGATTGGATGCTGGCCCGGCGCTACATCTCGCTGTTGAACTCGTACAAACTGTGGAATACGGTGGCCTCGGTGGTGCCATCGCTGGGCCTGATAGGCATCATCTATGTGGGCTGCGACTGGGTGTGGGTAACCTTCATGCTCGCCGGCGTTGGATCCTTTGGCGGTGCCGTATATGCTGGCAATCAGATGAATCACATAGCCCTTAGTCCGCGATATGCAGGCACCATGTATGGAATAACCAATTCAGCGGCGAATATCTGCGGTTTCCTGGCGCCCTATGTCATCGGTTTGATCATCAATCATCGCGAGACACTGACTCAGTGGCATGTGGTCTTCTGGCTGGCGGCGGGACTAAATATAGCGGGGAACTTTATCTACCTGATCTTTGCCAGCGCCGAGGAGCAGAGCTGGTCAAAGGCCCGGCGACGCGGCAACCCACGATCCTTGCGCGCTTGAAGCGTCCAACTATTTGCTATGATTTTTGTTTTATTTTTTTTTTTTTAGCCTAGATCATAAGCATTTGTGATAATTCCGATATATATAGTACATATATATACATAGAGTATATAGCCTATGGACTCAAAGTTGCTTCCGAAAATTGAGACCGAAACTAGTGCTACCAAAAGGAACGAAGATGGAACGAAATTTGATGTTAACTGTTTTAGTGCTCGGTGTCGTTTTATATGGACTTTTGTTATGCTAGGCGTCGTTTTTTTTTATACCACTATATATATATATACCAACCCAACTATATAGTAGAGTATATATATTTATATATCGAAGATATATAGGTACAATACACCCACATATTCAGCTTTAGAAGGACATTATACACAGCTATACACATACCAAGTGTTAGACCTAAGTAGAGCTAGTGATATATCTGTATACACATACCATGGATCTATGGATACTTTGTAAAACTGTAAATGTATGCGAGTAACCAAGTCTGTGACAAATGGATTTTTGTCGGAATAATAAACAAGCACAAACATATCGAAAACAAGGTGGTTTTCATAAAGTGTTGAGAGTTGAGGGGTTTTTATTTAAAGATTCTCTTTGTGTTTTGTTATAACAATCCCTTATTTTTCTATTTTTTTTGTCTGGGAAGTGTGTTCGTTGAGTGCGCTTTCTAAGCGTTTTTTACCCCAACGTTTTCATGCATACTTTTTGGCTTTAAATTAAAATTAAGCTTTATAAATAATAGCTTTTGGAATGCTTTAATAATTATATACAAATATATATGTTCCCAGAATAATCTTTACTATAAAGATCTGCCTGGGTTCTTTCATGACATTGGATTTAGATAAAAAAAAAATATACTTATAGAAATTTTATTTTGTTATTAATTTGATTATATTATTACTTATAGTCTATTATAATTTTTTATATTATATTACTATTTTGTATATTATATTATTATTATATATATTATATTAATAATTTTTATTTTATTAAATATATTATAATAATAATTTGTAGGTTTTTAAATAAATTTATTTCATTAGTTATACACTTTCAACTATTTTATATTTATTATTTTCTTTATTTTTTAATATTTTGATATATATTTATATCTTATTTTCTGTGAAACATTTACCCAAAACTCAAAATTATTCAACTTCTTAAACCTTTCTTCTCATAAGCTTTCAATTTTTAATAACATGCATATATATTTTTTATTTTCCAAGCTTAATACTTCCTTAATCCAACCTTTTCCTGTGTTTTTTAAATCCTTCTTTTTCCTTAAAAAGTCCGTATTTTCTTTGTGAAATTCGTTTGACCAAAGGTTAAATTTTTCGGTGATTACATATGTTTTTTTTTTCAAGTTTTAAGTGCAGCCTCCGCACGCATTTTAGTTGTCGGAGGAGCGATTACAGCTTGGCACAGTTTTGCCACCTGTCCGTCCGTCCGTCTGTCCGCCGTCCGGTATGAGCCATCACTGGCATCATCCACGCCCCTTTTTCCCCCACTTTTTCCCGGCCATTCATAATGGGTAAGTGACATTGCAGTTTCTGTGTCGCCGCAGTCTCTCACGCGGGTTTGTTTGTATATTTTGCGCTTTGTTTTATTGTCAATTTTCTCCCCATTGCATAACGATTACTCCGTAGCCTCCTCTAAGCCCCTCTCTGGCCGATCCGATCCGCTCTGATCAGATGAGAGTCGAGTTCCCCGGTGAACTTCAGCGGGGCCATAAAAACCAGAGCCGCAAAAGTCAAGTGAAAATATTTTGGCGCCGCTGTTATAACAGCGAACCTTTACCTTTACCTTCTCGCTCTTCTCAGTGCACTGAGAGAAAATTAAATATGTGTCAAATTGTTATTATAGTTATAATTTTGAATCGAAGTTTATTAGGCAGTGAATGAGGCATTTCCAACCCTTTAAATCATATATGTATATTCTTGATCAGTACAAAAAAGCAGCGTCGATCTAGCCATACTTTGCGTAGTTATTAATTTTTTTATTTTTAATATTCTTCCCACGAATTATTACAAAATTTTATAATTTTATATGTCGTTAAAATTGTTAAAGATACGCAAAAAATTAAATTTAAAAAATGCTAAAATTAGTATAGAGATTTGAATTTAATTCATTTTTGATTTAGTTATAAATTTTTAAAATTTTGATTTTTTTCAGTAGTTTTTTTTTTCAATAAAAACTATCACAAGTTCCATTTTTCTAATTTCTATATTTCCTAATAATATTAGTATGTCCTTCTGAATTCTGTTCCCTCTTAATTTTTGTCCAACTTTTTTCCCCAGTGCACACTCACCTGTCCCGTCTTCTGTCCCGCTTACTCACGCAACCTGTGCGCTCATTTAGCCGTGCGTTTGCGTTTTTAATTAACGGTAGTTTCTTCTATTGCCTCACGAGAGATTGCAAATGAAGTAATTATAAAAAAAAAAACGAAAAAAAAACGAAATAAAACGCCGTCAGATGAGGAAAGAAGTTGAGATAAAAACCAAAAAAATATAGCCAAGAGTTACGACCGAACATTCGGTGCAATTTCATCCCAAAATCAAGCTCTCTCCTAGCAGCCGCGGTTTTCCTTTTGCCAAGAAATGCGTTCATGGTCAGAGTGTCAAACGTGACGCAAGACCAGGCGCAAACAGCAACAAAAACAATTAACAGCCAACAGTAACATCAACAATGGCATTAAAACAATACAAAAAACTGAAGAACAACTGAACAAATGAGCTCAATGAGTGATCCAAAACAAAATTATTTGTGCAACTAAATATTTGGTCGAATGATTTTTAAAGTGTCAAGAGCCATTGTTGCGAGTGCACTTCCATAGAGAATCAGTTGATGAAGCCGAATGAAATATTTTAAAAAGTCTAGAAACTATGAAACTATATATGTATGTTGAGGCCTTGAGATTTAATATTAATATTTTCAGATTAATTTCTTGATTTTAAGAACCTTTTTCTCTTTTAAAATGCCTTAAAATAATATTAAAAATCCTTGAACAAATACTCTTTTCATATGATATTTTCCTTAATATAAATAACATATATATGTAATATAAATTGATATATATCAAGGTTCCATTAATCTATTAAAAATTCACAAAAATTAGTAAGTAATTAAGATGTTCCCGATAAAAAAAGTCGAAAAACATTGACAAACATTGCGGTTGGCCTGATTCCAATTTATCCAAGGGGAAACTCTGCATAAAATTTGGCAATATTATTCCCAAAAAAAATGATGTGAATTAGGGCTTAAACTTGGTCAAAGCTAATGAATTTCCTTCCTTACTTATTATCTAGACCTTGAAGATCATCATACTCCCAGATATATATCATGATATTGGGCTCAATTCGGTTATCGGTTAGCTAATTGATAACCCCGAGAGCTCGAGCTTTGCTAATCGCCTTGATTTCTGACTGAATTTCGTATCGCTGGCTTATTTATTCACTGTTAACTGAACCTTTTGTGGGCCGCGCTGCCGGTTTGCCCATTTCTTGACACTTTCACTTTTCTCATTAAGACACACCAACAACCGCGATGGGCTCCGAGGGCTCGAGCGGGGAGAAATGTGAGGCGCAAAAGGCGACAGGTTTATTTTTTTTTTTATTTTCCATTTTTCATTTCTCATTTTTTATTTAATTTTTCTTCTTTCTTTTTCATTCGCTGACTGCACGACGAGACCTTACGTGTCCCCAAAGATGATCGCGTCAATGACTGACAGACCCAGACCCTTATGCACTGGAACAAATTTCGTGATATTTTGTAAGTAAATGAAATATTTTTATTACTTAATATGAGAAAAGAATTGTTAGGTTTTCGCTAAATTATAAATTCTAGTGAAAAACAAAATGCTACAAAAATTCATGAATTTACGTGTGATTTATGGATTAAATATAATTGTGAGCGATTTACTTTTTGAAATGTTTATAAAATAAATTAAAATGATTTATATGTTTAACAATTAAAAAAGTTTACGTATACGTGATATTAAAAAAAAAAAACGTATACGTAATACCTGGACGCACTATATTAAGTATACGCCCTGTTTTTTTTTTACTTCCCTTTTTTTAATTTTAAAAACTATTTCAAATTCAAAATTAATTTGTAATATCATTTCTATTTACCCGATTTTTCTCAGTGCACATAAAATATTAAGGCTAACCTTAAATATTTTGTGGATTCATTTGCATCTTCATTCATGCCCATCCGTCTCCATCTCCCTTGCTCTCTCATTTGCTCACTCTCTTTACATCTTGCTTCTGCTGCCTTTCTCCATCTTCCTTTTGCACTGCTGCCGAGTCTCTCTTCCCTTTTTGAATGAGTGATATTGAACTTTGAGTGGAATTTCAGATCGCATGAGAGCCATTCAAAGTCAAGATATTTAGGATATGATTATATGTATCTTAACTCAGATTGAGCATTAAATATAAATGAAGTTAATCAGTAATATAATTTTAGTTCTTTAATAAAGAAATTTAGCATTTTACGAAAGTTTTTTCATCATAACTTGGCTTAAACTCAACCAATTTCAGTGTGGCTAGGTTTTTTCTTCTTGGTTTTAATATGCAAACTTTTCTGCATTTAAAACTCAAATTGTAATTTTTAACAAAATTTACAGAAAAATTTGTGATGCACCCCCTTATAAAAAATGAAAAAATTGAAAAAAAAAAAAATTTAATTTTAAATTTTCCTAATTTTAATGTAAAATATAGCTGTTATGAAAAGCATTTATAAAAATGTATGGCACTTCTATATACGAATTTTTTGAGCCAAGCTATGGAATTTTGTTAGCAATTTGTAGTCCCTCCTTTTCCCTTCATCCTTTTCCCGAACCTTTGAAATAATTAAATATGGAGAGAGTTTATTGGAGAGAGTGTAGAGTGGAGAGTGAAAAGGATATACAAGATAATGCCTTCTTTATCTCTTATAAATTAAATGTGGAGTTAAAAAATGCTCATCTGTGCAGCTTCTGGATTCAATGTTTTTCTTTTGTTTTGTATTTTGTCATCCCTGCAAACCAGTTTACCGTTGCAAGAGCTTCTGCCGCTTCTTCTTCTTCATCGCCCTCTTCTGGTTTTTTTGAAAATGCACAAAATGCATTTTTGTTTCACTTTGCCAAGTTAACATTTAATTTTTTTGGCAGCGTTTTTTTTTCTTCTTAGTTGTTGTTGTGAGAACTGGTTTCCATTTGCTAACGGTAAATGCAGTAGCCGCTGCAGCACCAGCAGCAGCAGCAGGAGCTGCCCGTCTCTTTCTAGCCGTCCAAGACTGTTCCCAACTTTTTATTTGGCTTTTGTGGAAAATTGAAAATTGAAAAGTACTGCACGAGACATTTGACGTTTCGAGGATTGCACAATATGTATGGCAGAGCTAGTTGTTTCTGCGCCAGGTGCAAGTAGCACTCGCTCTTTCCCGCTCTCACCTGCTCTCGCGGAGTTGGTAAAACGGGTCAGCAGGCGAGAAAAAGACAGCAACAATTGTTCCATCTCTTGCGACATATTCGTTCGCATTCCTCCATTCCCAGTGTTTTTTGGCTGGAATCTTGGAAAGGGGGGGGGATGGAGATTTTGGGGAATGGGAGTGGAAACGGGAATGCAGCAGCAGCAGCGGCGGCAAGTGAATGTGGAAAAACGTTAAAAAAAAAGAGTTTGCATGCTAAATTAAATTATCTCAATCACTTTTAATCCCAGACACTTAAATCATTTCGATTTGCTATATTTTATCAGATTATATCCGTCTTTTTAAATCTAAATATCGAGTGTCAATATGCCAGCTGGGTTATTCATTGGAGTATTTCAATGAGTCATTCCATTGCGAATTCATTTGGCTGCAAGTTTTCATCTTCATACATATTTTACATTAGTTAAACATTAATGCGTCTTTCATATGGTAATAATTAACTAACAAAAAGCTTTAAAGGTGTATTTTTTAAGCTAAATTTAATTATGAAGCTTCCAGAAAAATTACTAATATGACAAGCCTACAATTAACATTATTTTTGTGGCCTAAAAATTATGTTAACACATGGAATAATAAAGGCAGATCGTAAAGTGGGATGTGTTTTAATTAAGTAATTGCAGCAAGTGCAGTGTAATTATCTCGAATCTCAAGAAACTAATTGTTTAAAGTCAAAGAAGGTATCAAGGGTTTGCTCTCAGGAAATCTCTCAACTCAAAACGTCTATAACTTGGCTCAAAAAAGTTAATAAATGTTTCATTAGCATCTATGTATATTTAATGCTAAAATTAAGAAAATCTAAAATGTATCATCCGAAAATGTTTTTAAAATTTACAGAAACAAAAATTAAATTTAAGATTTAAATGCATGAAAATTTGCCTGTAAAAACCAAAAGAAAAAACCTAACCACCTCGAAATTAATTGAGTATAAGCCAAGTTATGATCATAAAAACATTAAATTGTTCTACATTTTTGGAATAAAGTGAATGATAAATTTTACACAGAAGATATCAAGGGTCTTGGCTTCATTTTGATCCTATTAAGTCTTTAATTGTAAATAAATCAAACCAAAAAAATCAACTTGTAACCCCTAAGCCTCTCACGATGTCACACATAGCGAGCTAGGGACGTGAATTTATCACAGATTTGAAGCTGATGAGACGATGTACCAACTTTAATAATTATTATAACTGATATGAAGTTGCCAATTCGGATTTATGCCGTCGTCGACGACGGTTTATTGTGTGCCATCTTGAGTGGTTGAGTGCGAATCCATTTAGCTCATTTAGGCGACTTAACTGATTTGACCGACTTAGCTGGAATTCGCTATATGGTCACTCATATACATAAGCATATACAGATACAGATACAGATATAGTGATTGCATCCGTCCTTCTTCGGCGCGTATTCAAATATCAATGGCTAATTTCATTTTTGCGGCCACTTTTGCAACACGCACACTTTCGCACAATTCCATAACAGCCGCCACACACACACATACACGCAGGTCTTACCACCAGGCTATTACAACATAGTCGATGACGCAGGGCTTTTACTAGACGAACCAGACGAAGAGAGGAGCTGAAAAGGAGAGAGGAGCTAGAGAGAGAGATCGCTTTGCTCATAAGCTCTCGCCCGCTCATTTCTTCCTCCAGACACTTTCGTTGGGCCAACTAACGGTACATGCACATTCACTCACTTGCGCTTTCGGAGACAGACAGAGCGAGAGAGCGCTCGAGCGCCAGCAGAGTTTTTGAGTCTCCAGTTGAGCTTGAGCCCGAGAGTCTGAGTCGGAGATGTGTTTTTGCTGTATTTTTGGGCGCTGCGTTATTGGAATTGTTAACATATTTTTACAGCTGCTCAAGACGCGCAGTCGCGATTCGTAGACGTGCGTTCATGCCAAGCGGTCGTCGCTGCTCGCAGCTCCCTCACACAAATCACAGATCACAAGAAAATCACACAGAATCACTGGGATCCATAGCAAAAGCGCGTGTGTTATTGTGTTTAAAATAAAAAAAAAAATATACAAAAGGAAGCCAAGAAAACAAAAGTAAAAGTGACAAAAACAAAACCGTATTCTAACGGTTCTTCTCTTTGAAGTGTTAATATTTTTTAAAGCTCATATTTTTTTTGCCTGTGAAAATGCTGGTGCTTAAAAAATATATATAAAAATAATATATATATTTACACACATATAGAGATATCTAAATTCGCAGTTTAACCCAAATTGGATTTTAAGGTTTCTCGGGTTTTCGTATTTATTTATTTACCTTTTTTTTCGTGTGGAGTGAAAGTGAGTTCGAGGCTGAGACATCGTCGCAGGAACGTGCCCCGTTAATTTGCATATATCCATATAGTATATAGAGCATATATACATATATATATATATAGCCTACTGTGGCGGCAGATGAACATGGCGCACAGCAGGACTCTCTGGCTGGCCCTAATCCTTGCCCTGGTAGCCACTAACCAAGCGGCCATCGACAAGGACGATGGCAAGTTCCCCGGCAGCAATCATAACCTCACCACCTCACCATCATTGGATCAGCATAATGTGATCAATCTCAGCCTGCACACGGACCTCCCGGCTCCACCTGCCGCGGCAGCATCCTTTGATCTCACGCGCACTCGTCGCCTAAGGGATGCCCTCAATGTCTTCGATCTCGCCCTGCTGGCCGCCAAGTGGGGCCAGGTGGAGACCGACGGCGGTATTGCGACCAACTGCAGCCGGGATATGAGGAGTTATCTCGCCGGACTCAGCGATGCCAAGATGTGGGCGGTCAAGAGTAAGTCCTACCTAGAAAAACTTAACTTTAAAATGGTTTTTAAATAAGTTTTCAATTTTTCTTTAAAAAATTTCTTAAATGAAAAGCAATCATGGGCATTTTTTGAAAATATTTATATATTTTTTTATTCAATAAAATCGATTTTTTATCAATTAATATCGATATTTATTAGAGGAAATTTATTTAGCATTTATCTTTGTTGTTGTGAAAGACAAAAGAAGTGCAGAAATTATGGCAATATTATTATTTACTTTGGTATTGATACAAAAATCGATTAATTTCGATTAAAACATCGATATCTTGCCAGTTTCTTAATAAATAATAAATTAAAACCTCTACATATTCCAAAATTCTTAATTTCTTAGTTATCTTTTTCGAATTTTCTATAAATTTTGATCTCTGCTTGACACCAATTACAAATGGCATTCAATTTAGAATCTTTAGTTAGTTATCGATAATAAAACAAAACAACCTTAAAAGAAACATAAATTATGAATATTTAAAAATGTAGGTCATACAATCATTGGATATGTTAATTTGCAAAGAACAAACTTCAAAATTAATAGCAAAAGCTATTATCTTGGACAAACTCAATTGAAAATGTAAGAATACAAAAATATGCAAAAGCAAAAAGGCATTCAGCTAGAAAATTAATAATTCTCAAGTCTTAAAAAATATTTTTAAATAATTATTAACTAGATGAGCTTCTTTTTAAATGCTTTTAAATGTTATTTAATGATTTCCCATATATTTTTTGGGTGACAAATGGAGATCGTCTGATGTCAAGACGTGACAAGATGGCCATTCACTTCAACTTCCCTTACACGTTATTGCCAAAATTTCCACACACACACACACACACACACATTTTTCAACTCTGATCTTGTTTTCAACTCGCTGGCAAAAAAAAAAAAAAGGAAAACCGTAAACCAATTCTGGCGTTGAACGTGCCATTCGCCGGCGATCGCCAGAGATATATACACACATATATATATGGTTTTATATGGAGAATTCGACCATAAAGCACACAATCTACATAAGTGCACGATACGATACGATGTTAGCTAGAGATCGCCAAGGTCGCAATTAGTTCTTGCCAGCAACATGCAACTGCAGCAGCAACAGCAACTGCAACAGCAACTTCTACTGCAGCAACAGCTCAATCAAATCTTGGCTTGATGGGTGGACTTTTCGGCATCGTTTTCGCTGAATTTTAGACACCCATTTTTGGTTAAATTGTAAAGGTGGTTTTTTGAGTAGGTTTTCCAGTTGATTTTTTTCATTCTTTTATTTTTTTATGGCTTTTCTGGTCATTATGTCAGTGGGTTTAGTTGGTATTGAATAACGGTTCAATTGCAAACGAGATCAGGTCGAGATCGATTTTTCGCCTTTAGTATTTGCAAAAGTCTCTCAATCTCAGTCTGAAATTATGACTTGTTTTATTTTCGGTTTTCTCAGTTTTTTCGTTTTTTTTTTTCGGTTGCGACAAGTTGCCGCCCCAAAAAGCAATCCTATCGATTCCAGCAATCCGATCCACTGACCAACTGACTCCACACACTGGCCACTGGCCACTCGCCTCGACTTGATTTGAGTCGACCAAGCTATAGCTGGTTATGTAATCAATTAACACAAAACACTGCTGCTTGCAGCCCAAAAAAAAAGGGGAGAAAAAAAGCAGAAATACTGTAAAAGAAAAAAAAGAGAAAGAGAGGAGGCCCCCTTTCAAAGTTTCTTTTTTTTCTTTCTTTAGTTTTTTATTTTATTATTATTCCATCGGTGGTTGCACCATGGGCATAAAGTGACCGGAAAGTGAGCACAATATCGTTTAAAATCAGCTCTCAAACAAGCAATGGTTCAAGTTCAGGGAAAATGGTAATGAAAATGGCCATTTCCCGGGGGCTAAGAGAAAGGTTTAACAGTTTCGGAAGTGATTTTTCTGTAATTAAGATGCTCGTTTAAAGATTTTTTCCAGTTAAATTAGTGAAAAGGGGAAAATTTGGTAATTAAAAAGTTGTAAAATATAGTTTTTTTTTAATAAAAGAAAGGGAATATATTTATTTAGTTTAAAATTTAACAAAGCCAAAAGGCTTAACAAAATATCGTCTATTAATCCAATTTTTTTAGAAGTTTTTTCCCCTCCTGTTTGCTTTCAAGTCAAACCCTTTTTTTTAACCTCTCTAATATATTTTTCTATTTGTTGTTAAATTTTAACCCTCACCTTCGTGCTAGGGCCATCTCCTCTCCGTCTGGGAACTTGTCACTGGGCTTTTGGGGGGAGTTTCGTGAGCAGGGACAGTTACCTGCGTTACCTGGCATCTATGTCAATGTCTCCAGTAAATCTTTGGTTATATATTTATATATATATTACCACACACATGAGCAATAGCAGCAGTCGCCGGGCCAGGGCCAAAGTTTTTCCTGCTGGCCAGCAGCAGCAGCTTTAAACCGGACTCTCCGCCGTCTGGAAATTGTTATTTAAACGCTTCAGATTGGACATAAATAATTTCCAGCGAGCGGGTTTCGGTTTCAGTTTTAGTTTCAGTTTCAGTTTCGTATCTGGAGCCACATATACTACCAATCCTCAGCTCGATGGCCAAGATCAATGGCTAATAAATTGTAGCCGTATTACCATTGTTGCGGCAGTTGTTGTTGTTGCAGCTCTCCGCTTCGCTGGCTGCATTTAGCCCCAAACTTTTAGGCCCAAACCCAAACCCCAACTCGAACTCGAACTCAAAGTCGAAGTCGAAGTCGACGAGTTGCCGGCGATTGGCAGGTTGAAGGTTGCCCTGAAATGCACTCGCCGTGACAATTGCAGCGACTGCAGCTTTTTTTGGAAGTCAAGTGGAAGGCTGCGACACAAGACAAGGGTGACACCCCGAAAACAAAGCCATTGACAAAAAAACTATTCATAGAAACCAAAAAAGACTACAGTAGATATTGCTTAAAGGCAAGGAATATGCTTTTAAAATGATTTTTATATAAAAAAATATTCGAGAAATTTTGTTGTTATTGAGAAATTATTTTAATAATATTAGAAATATATATATAATATAATATTATTAAATATTATATTCCTATAATAATAATATTAGTTTTATTTCTTATGCTTCCTTTAATTTCACTTATTAAAAATTTCTGAGAAATTTTTTTAATATTTAAAGAATGAGTTTAAAGGTTTCTGGTAGCTTCTTTTAATTATTATTATTATTATTATTAATAATAAACATTAAATAATACTAATAATAATAATTTGACTTCTAATGCTTCTTTTAACTTTAATGATTGAAAAATTCTAGAAAAAATAACAAAATAAACTCTACTGTTCCTTAATAACTTGGCTTATACCATTTATATTTTTCTCAAACTTGGTACTATATATTATTATACTTTAGTGATCAAAATCATAATGAAAACGAAAAGTTTTACTTGCTAAAATAAGAAAATTATCAACGCTGTTTTATAATAAATACGCTGCTATAGGCAATATTTTTCTCAATGTTGTTAACTGGGCTTCTTATACCCTTACCGGGTATTATGGTTTCAGTCAGAAGCTAGTAACACATTGAAGGAGTTATTTTTGACCCCATAAATCATAAATATTCTTTATCAGCATCAAAAAACGAGTCGATCTGACCTTGTTTGGCAAGAAAAAAAATTGACTTTTTTTTTTTCAAAATTTGATAAGGGGTTACATCGTTAAAATTATCAAAAATTAAAAAAAAATTTTAATTGAGAATGCAGTATGTTTAAACTTATAAAAACTAACACCGAATAGCTTTTCGAATTGAAATTAATGGATTTTTGGCTTAATTACGATAGATTTTATATGCAAACTGCAAGGGTACACAGAATTTGGCTTCCTAAAGTTTGCTTTCCTTTTGGTTTTTACTTAAATTATCTTATCAAGCTGCGATCCTATAGATTTTCTGTAATAGCAAAATGTTTTCTCTTAAAAAAGTACGAATATCATAATATATAGCACATAGCTAATATCTACTGTAATTTGCAATCTCCAAGACGTCTTTTTTTTTCGGCTAACTTTGTCGAGTTTGGCCAAGTTTGTAAACAAAAACTGTTGTCGGCAAAAAGTCTTAGAGGAAGTGCAAATATTGGCCTCATCATCATTATTACCATCCAAACTGCAAACTTCCTCAAAGAAAACCAAAAAAAAATATAAAAAAGCTTTCACAATCTTTGCTTCTCTGTTGGCCAAGTCTGTGGCTTTTTATTTTAATTTTTGCAATTATTCCGGGAACCGGGAAGCCAAGAAAAGCGCTATTTGTGTTGATTTTTATGGGGAAAATCACAGTGTTTGACCTCGCGTCAAATTGAAACTTATTGAATTGAAAAGTTACAAGTTTCAAAATTGTAGCCAAGTCTCTAGGACTGTGTTTTGGTCATTAGAGTTGGTCACAATGCACAACGGTTGTTGGCTTAAAAAAAAGGGGGTAACAGGCCCCAATTACAGCCTTTGTGCGAAATGAAACGTCACGCAACATAATTTCTACGGCTTTCCCGTACGCATATATACACACATTTCTATATAAACGGTTGTCTTTCGAGCCGAAGAAGCAGATGGAACCGACCAAAAATTGCACAACAAATAAACACGGCCAGTCGCCAAGCCGAGAGACAAGTTGTCCCCGTCGCTCCAGCTCTCCTTACCCCCACCTCAGTCTTCGTCTTGTTGGTCAAAAAAATAAAAAAAAAAAAGCTTAACTTATGTAATGTAACTTTAATTTGATTGTTGCAATGTCTTGCAGTTTTTGTTTTTGTCTCGTTTCTTCTCTCTGACTTTTAGTTGTTCAGCGAAAATGAAATTATGGCCAAGACAACTATAACTTGGCTATAACTTGACTGTAGTTAAGGCGGCTGTATGTAAAATACTTTCAACTGTAACCCCCATTTTTGACCTGTTTTTGGTTTATTTCTGTTTTATATATATTTATGATTATTTACAACGTTTTCTGTTTTTGTTTTTGGCTTAGTTTTTTATTAGC